TGGAATTTTCTAGATTGCCTCTGGGACATCATACGAGACCCCACCATGCCTTTCCGCACCCTGACTGGGCAGTTCCTCTCACTGGCTGGGGGTGTGGTGAAGGTGCTGAGGGGTCCTACCTTGCGTGGGTGGGCGTGGCTGTGACTGCCCGAGTGGAGGCCCGGGGGATTTTGCTGGTTTATTCTGGGGTCCCTAGAACAGAAGGAAAAACAGTCCCATGAGCGTCATGGCCATTTACCGCCTGGGTGGGAAGAGCTTTTTGTCATTGCCCTAAGAGCACGTAGAGTCCACAGGCCTGACACCTGTAAAGGTTTGCACCCCTGCACACCCTGGTAACTGCCTCCCCCAGGTCAGGACGGAACATTTCCAGCCGAGAAGACTGCCCCCACCTCTTCCCCACAGCTGCTCCCTCAAGTATAGCTATCATCCAACGCTATTATCAGCACTAGCTTTTGTGGCAAGGACTCCGTGGTGCTGGGTTTAAGACTTGGCTTTCCAGAAAGCTGCGGGCTTTCTGGAGAACGAGCTGGTCATCCAGGGTGAGGGCTGTGTCGGGGAAGAGCTAGTGGGAGCAGGCAACGTTGGGGCATGGGGAAGAGGAAGACACAATTGTCTGTTGACTGGTGGCCTGGAGACACCCAGAGGGAACGTCACAGAGGCATGTGCACACACGTGCGCTCACGCGGACACCACACGCTTCCCTCCCAGGGATGGAGGGGGTCGGGCAGGGACAACTGGCCTCACAGGGAGTAACCTCTGCCGGCAGGTACCCAGCGCCAGTTGAGACAAGGTTTTCTCGCTGGGAGGGAGGAGGGGGAAGACCCCTGCAGAACTTCCCGACTCACCCCTCTGGAGGAGGGTAGAGGGAGCCAGAAGCTCTCTCGTCCACACTCCATCCCTTGCTTCCCTAGGGGGTTTCTTCTTGGGAGCTATCTCCTTGGACCCAGGGGCTCCCCGACATCCCAGAATTTCTCATACTAACAAGCATCCCTTGTTTCCAGAGCTTACCCAAGGCCTCAGGGGTGAGGGCACTGTACCCCCTGGCATCAGGAGTTGGCTCATTTTGGAGATAACAAGGTCGGCCATCAACTGTCTGTCCTCTTCCACGTGCTCTCCAATCAGGGGCATTGAGCTGTCCATCACCTGTGGGACAGAAAGGAAGCCTGAGGGACCTCCGGGCAGGGGCAGTTGGGCAGTGGGGCCACACACCCCGGGAGGGCAGGCTCAGTGCTCAGAAGTGACCACGAGATGGCGATGTTTCCCACACAACCTTGGGCTCAGCTGCGAGTGACCGCTGCAGACATGCCTGCAGTTCAGGATAAATAGCTGCCTGGATTCAGCTGAGTCCAGCCCACATTCGGGACTACAGAAATGTGACCAAGGCCTGGGGAGCGTCTGCTGACCTTTTCTGCTCTTTTCTTTAGGGCGCCTCCTCCACCCCCTCCTTTCCCACCTTGGTCCCCGCCCAGGGCCGGGAATGGCCTTCTCAACTTTAACCCAAGGCCAAGGCTTTCCATAAAGCTGGGAACAGTGAAGGTGGGGGCTTGACTACGACCCAGATTTCAGAGAAGAGGGGAGAAGAGGGCCTGTGATCCAGGGCGCTGGCAGAGCACATGTCCGGAGACACAGGCCCCAGAGAGCTCAAGCAGTACAGGGCTCAGAGGCTCAGGGCAGGAGGGGGCTTGTCCAGTCACGCAGGCCCACCACCCGGTGACCCCGCCTCCCTCCAGGCAGCTACAGAAAGTCTTCAGGGGGCGCAAGGCCTCTTCTCCACTGTGGAAGCCCCCTCCCCGACTCCACCCCCATCAAACTCTGCACCTGTCAGTCTCGCCCCACTGGGGCCCTCTGCACATTGGCCTCTCTGCTCACTCTCCCTGGCTGGCTGCTCTCCATCCGGGAACACCTAGCTCGCTCTCTGAGGACTGGCCCCCATCTGTAATCCACTCTCCTCACTTTGTGGTCCCACTGGACAGCTTACCCCACAGCAGTGTCACCCCTATTTACTTGTATCCCCTGCACCAGGAGTCCCTGAGGCCCTCGGTCCTGCTAAACAGGTGTGCCCTCAATAACCACTTGTGGATGCAGGGGTGAAAAGTCCTGGCTGCGAGTCCCACCCAGACCCTGGTGCAAGCTGTATTTGACTGAGCACTTACTATGCGCCAGGTGCTGTTCTGAGCACGGGGGTGGGAGGACTTCCAGAAGCGCAGGGGCACAGCTGGAGGCAGGTGCTCCCACTGGCCTCATCATAATGATGAGGAAACGGACGGTCAAAGAAGTAGCAAGTTCCAGGACATGTCCCAGTACCGCCAGAATAATTCTCACAGCTCTCTGGGGTAGGAACCGGGAACAGGAACCCGGGGCTGCAGGCCTCAGCTCTGCTGGGGCTGGCTGTGTGACCTCGGGCAGGACACTTGCCCTTCTCGCCCACTGTTTTCCTCAACTGTAAGCTCATTTTGGAGAAAAATGCAAGGATGTGATGCCGATTCCAGGTCCTGAAAACTGTCCTCAAATTGAGTTCCTGGGGGGTTGGGCCTGGGTCCTTGGTACCTGGATTCCCGCGCCCAGCTCACGGTCGGGGCTGAGTTGGATTCTAACCCTGGAGCCTGACTACATGCGCACAGGCCCGTCCTTGCTCCTTCAGGCCTCCCCCTTGTGTTCTGGTTTCTGTTCCCTCTGCTCCCTGTGGAGGAAAACAACCACCGCAAGGAACCTGAGGTCAGAGCACTTGGGATCCCCGTGGTGGACACGGCCAAAGGAAGTGGACATTCTGGTCTCCCCAGGGAAACATTTTTTCCAGTGAGCAACATCATTCCCTGGACAGGTCATGGAGGACAAGTTCAAGGGCCTTTCCCCGGAGAATTTTCCTGTGAGGATCTTCACAAAACATGTCACACAAGTTTTATGTTCTCACCACAGAGGTGGCTGAAGAAACCAGGATTTTTGGATCGCGTCTGTCTTTTTTTCCCCCAAACTGTGGAAAAAATACCTTTTATATTCCTGGTAACCAGCTCCCCTTGACCTTCCTCCAAACCCCAAAGCCAAGGAAACAACTTTGTAATGTTTCTGAGAGAAAAAACAACAATCTGAAAAGCCTTTTTTTTTTCCTGGAATATTTTTGAGAGGTGATTTTCTTGTTTTTTTTTTTTTTTAAAGTCCAAACCCACTAATTTTGCTTTTTTTTTCCTCTCTCTCTTAATGTGAAAAGCCTTTCATTCCTGACCCTCTGAAGTGTGGAGGCAGGGACCTGGGCCCACGGCTATGAGTGAAAGCTGAGGTAGCTCTGTGAGGGGGGAGCTCTGGGGAGCAGGGGAAGAGGCGACGTGCCCACTGCCGACCGTGGGGTGGGGTCAGCAGTCCTTCTAGTGACTGCTGGTCACTTCTCTGGACGGAAGCTCCAGAAACAGGGTTCTTACCCCCCACCTGGCTCGGGATGGGGGCCCAGTGGGAGGGGTCAGTAGTGGATGAACGAATGACATGTGAGTGACAAACAGCTTGTTCATGTCTGACAGGGCTGGGGGTTCTCAGAGTGTCATGCCCAGGCTCCCCTGGGTCTCCAGCTCCCAGTGCTCCTCACAAAGGTGGGGGATGGTTCCTCTAGGGAGCCGCCTGGCTCAGAAGTAGCTGTGCAGCCAGGTGAGCAGCTCCCGCTCCTTCAACATGCCCTGTGAGAGGGGGCCACTGGAGGGGGGGGCTTCAGGTATGACAGCAGCCAGAAGAGAGTGATGCTTTCTTGGGGGCTTGAGGGAGAGCTGCTTTCCAGAGCAGGACTGAACTCGCAGCGATACATGCGGCTCTTCTGAGGCGCTTCCTGGCCTTTCTGGGGCAGTAGAGGGACAGTGGTCTGCCCGGACTCCCTCCCCTTCACCGCCAAAGGCAGCTACTTGCTGGGCACAGGTGGCAAGGCCCTGCTGGCAGCAGGTGGGGACCAGGGTTCCTGCCCATGGAGTCCTCTGTTGCTGCTGTGCCTTGGGGCCGGGACACACAGGGCTGAGGACAGGCTGGTCACTGTGGTCAGCCAGCCATGTGCTTCCCATTAGCTGCCCATGGCTGGGGCTGAGGCAGTGGGAGGGCAGTGGGGTTCTCCTCTCCTGTCCTGGCCTTGGGTGGGCAGCCCCCCCTCTGCTGTGGCTTGAGGAGCAGCCATGGAGGGGAGCACAGAGGCACGTGGAGCTGTGACACTGGGTGAAGGGGGGACTCTGAGGCCAGGGCAAAGCAGAGAAGAGCCAAGGGCTGGGACATGGCAGCAGGGCAGGGAGCTGAGGAGGGAGCTGAGGATGGTGGGCCAGGAGAGACAGGAGGAGTCGTGGTGGAGGGCGGGGTGGCACGATTGGGAGAAGCATGGAAGGAAGCTGGGGTGGGAGAGGAGGACAGTGGGGGTGAGGGAGACCTGGAGGCCAGCAGGGTTGTGGGCTGGGAGAGGCCTGGGTGGCCAGAGGGAGGTGGGGTTGGTTCAGGGCTCCCCAGCTCCTCCCAGGGCTTCCTCTTAGAATTCCTTTTCCTCACTGCTTTCCCGCCATTAGACTCTCTGTATCCCCTTTGCTAACTTTAGTGCCTGCCTTTCCTTGCTGTTTTCCCCTTGCCAGCCTGCACACCCCACATCTGTCTGACCCCAGAGCTGCAACAGGCCAGTCCAGTGGAACCCTAAGTGCATGTCTGTTGTATGAACAGGCCCTGGGGCCCGCTTTAAATATTTGGGCACCAGGAAAACCGAGGCTTCCGATGGCCAGAAGTTTGCAGACTCTTGGCCTGACGCTCTCATCAGGAGGTGGTCAGACCTCATGCCAGGACCCCTGGGCACACAGGCTTGCGTGCAGTGAGGGTGTGTGAGAGGCTCCAGGAGCTGCTTGCTGGGCCCTGGGGGGCGCGCGCCAGGCCAAGAGCCAGGCCACGGCTGGCCACGCTGGAGGCCACGCTTGGATCCTTTCCCTCTGGCAGTCCTGGGAGCCCGAGCAGCCCGGGGGACGGCCCGCTTCCTCCCTCACCTCAATGATGTAGTCTCTGCCGTCCTTGCTGTGGACGGCCTTGACAGCACAGATATCCAGGCCGCCGAACATTTCCGAGCAGCTGTCCACCCACAGCCTGTACCTGCAGGAGTGGACAGACAGTGAGCACGGAGGTGGTGAGGGGGCCGCTGATGGGAGTCTGGGGGAGGTGGACACAGGGGACAAAAAGACACAGACACGCAGAGAAACAGCAGCGAGCCCGCCACCCCCCCCCCCCCGTCCCAAGAGACACAGCAGCCCAGAGCGAGAGTGGGGCCGTGGGAGAGGCGATGCTAAAAGGGAGCCAGAGACATAGGTGGACAGTGGGAGGCAGTGGACAAGGGGCTGGGGAGGAGGCCAGATAGGCAGGAGAGAGGAAGGAGGCGAGGGAGTGGGGCTGAGAGCTGGGAGGGAACGCAATCAGCCCCCACCCACGCCACCCCAGAACCCGCTTGTCCCCCAGTGCCGGGGAGCTTGTCCTGCCCCGTCTGGAACCACCCAGGACACCAGCAGCTGCTGCTGTGTCCCTTTCCCTTGGGAAAGCTGCTCAGAGACTTCCAGAAACCCCTCCCGGGCGGCCCTCCCAGCCCCTGCACGGTGCAGATGAGAGCCCGCGGGGGACAAAGGGCCATTCTCCCTGAGCCTGGGGCGGGCAGGCAGGGGGGCCTGGCAGGCGGCTCCCGCCAGCGGCCTGGTCCCGTGCACCGACCCGCTGCTTTTGTTCTTTTTCCAGCCACTTGATGGCTGTGAGGCCAGTTTGCTTTGCAGGGGAAAGATCTCAGCGCTGGACTCTGACCCGGCAGCAAGGGACGGTTGTATCTGGAGAAGTCTTCCTCAGCCCGCACTTGGCTTCCTTCATGGTGGACTTTGTGTCAGAGTTCCAGCGTCTCGCCCCTCTCCCGGGGTCACCCGGGGTCACCCGGGACAAGCCTGCTCTGAGATCCATTGTGTCCCCGAGCTCCCAGAATGAAGGGAGAGTGCGGCTGAGATGCCTTCAGCCCAACTCTCTCATCTCATCCGCCAGTGCCTGCTGCGGCCCAGAGGGGGCGAGTGGCGCGGCAAGGTCACACAGCCAAGATGGCCAGACAGACAAGCTCACCCAGCGCCCGTGGGCCCTGGTCTCGTCTTCCATCAGCTGAAACAAGGAGCAGGTGAGATCATACGCAGATCACCCCTGAGATCTGAGCGTGCGTCTGGCTGGCCGGCATCTCCCCCCATGCTTGTGGAGGGTGTGACTTCTCCTCTCTCAGCCTACAACAACTCTTCCACCAGGGTTCAACCCATTTTGCAGATGAGGAGACTGAGGTTCAGTGAGGTTCATAAAGAGACGGCGCTGGCTGTGGCTTTCAAACTCAGCTCCCCGCTGACCCTGCATTCCAGGCAAACTGCCCTTCCTCACGCTGGAAGGTGTCCTCTGCAGGAGGCCGTGGACAGCTGCTGTGGCTGCCTCCCTCTTGCTGCCTCAGTTTCCTTCTTGAGTCAGGGAAGGTCTAGACCTGCTTCTGTTTGTGCACCAGTCATGAGGAGAGTCAGGCAAACATACACCCACATGCAAGCCCACAGTGGTCCTGCCTGACCTAGAACCGTCCCTGTTAGCTTTGAAAGCTTTCCAGGGAGGTTGGGTGCAGCCACATTTGGGGGTGAGTCCTGGATGCAGGCTCTCTGCTCAGGGCCTGTGTTCAGCACCAGCAGCTGAGCAGGCACCTCCAGCTTGGGCCAACAGTCCCCAGGCACCCACCCTCAGAAGTCAGTATCCTTCCCTCTCAGTGGAAGGCGGAAGTCTGGGCCTGGTCCAGAGGTTTCTAGAGGCTGTTTTGTTTTTTGTTTTAAAGATTTATTTATGTGTACAAAACTGGCCAGAGGTGCCGGAGCAGTGAGAGGCTTCACCAGAGACAGAGTGGGGAGCAGAACAGGCCACTGATGAAGTACACTGCTGGGGGAGCAGTGGGCGGGTCAGGAGAGGTCTGCTGTGCCATGTGGGTCACCTCCGGGGCAGGGATCGAACTCGTGTTGAAATGGCCTTAGCTTCTTAGTGCTGTGCTTTTGCTCACTGTGCCACCAGGGAGGACCCTCTAGAGGCTAATTTTAAAAGATGAACTTCCAGGCTACACCTCATGGGACCCAGCCCACCACCAGCCCCTCTCCGTAGTCCAAAGAAGAGGCTCCATGGGAAGAAACTGGAGAACACGGGTCCAGGCACCCCTGGGCCAGGTGGGCCTAGCACCCACCAGGTCACGTGGGCTTTGTCCTGGAGTCACACTTCCTGGCCAGCAGCTGAGCCGAGTAGAGGGAGGGCTCAGGGCCTGTTTAAGGGACTGGAGCGCTCTGTCCAGGGCTTGGGGCATTGCCCATGGCTCTGCAGGAAGGGGACAGGCCTGAGCACACCTGTTCTCATGGTGGGCTGCTGCCGGGATGGCCCACGTGGCCTGGGGCTGAGCAGAGCCAGGGGCCGCTGGAGGCACTGTGAGTGGCCTGTGAGACACTCGGTAAACTGGGCTCACATTCTGGCAAGGGCCATGCAGAAAGGATCATGATTCTCCCATGAAAGCCCCTGGGGGTTGGGGAGAGAATGAGACTGCCCCAAACCAGATGACTCAATTGTGCCAGGTAATGAGCAAGCACCTGCCTCACCTGCCTTGATTTGATATAAGTAGGTTCCCATATTGAAGGCAGCAGCTGTCAAGGGGGTGGACGGGAAGGGAAGGAAGCCACCATGTAGCGCACCCCTCTCTGCCATGGGCAGCACAGGGGTTCCTCCTGCCCATCCTTCTCATTCAGCGCCCTGACTTGTGGATTTTCACCTCCATCGTACAGTTGAAGAGGTTCAGAGAAGTTAGGTAACTTGCCCACGTTAATGCAGGACGACTCACTTCTGTTCCTGCTGCTGCCTTAGCTTAGATCCCCTGAGCCAGAAGTTCCAAAAGGGCAGGTGCCCAGATCCTGCTTGTCTCCCCACTCCCACCCCCTTCCACTGTTTCCCCAGGGTCTAGCTCTACACTGGCTCCAGTTGGTGTTCAGCAAATAACTGACAGAGAAGTAAATGAGTCTTGCCTACTCCTACTGATGCTGCACAACATGGTGCTGGCGTCACCTCCTTCAGGAAGCCTTACCTACTAGCCCCTCCCTCACCGGCATTAGAAGCTCCAAGCTCCCACTGCAAACACCCAGTGCTCAGTTTCACCTGAAAGTCACCACCCTCTGTCTCCTTTGTCAGCTGGGGGTCACAGGAGTGGACATCTATTGTTTCAATCTGCACAACATCGATCTCGCCTCCTTCTCAAGAGTTCTTGATATCCCTTGTGATATGTCCCCCTGGAAGTCTCCCTCAGTCATCGCTGCTATAGCAGGTGGCCTGACTCCATTCTCCCAGGGCAGAGACGGGACCTGGTCCCAGCCAATCACAGCATTGCAGATTTCAGGGGAGTCGTATGAATGAACTGACTGAAAGAGGCTGACAGAAGGCTGAGAGGAGGTGGGTAGAAGGAACAGTGAAGTCTTACCTGGGCTGTGGCTCTGGAGTTTCTATTGCCACAAGCACTCGATCCCCCTCTGGCTCAAAACACTATGAGCTGAGTTCTGACACACATGACACAAAACCCTTAAAGGGAGGGGCTGGATCGTCTCACCTTGGACTCTCAGTGCTCAGGGCTCAGAACACCACGGCTAGCATGCAGTAGACACTCCATAATGCTCACTGAACAAACTGACCCCAAAGCCCATTGCTGTTCCCTACCACTGGATACTTGCAAAAAGAGGCCAGTGGCCAGGCCGGGAAGGTTGTGAGTGTGCACCTGGCCTAAGAGCAGGTGGCTGGCCCTCCTTCAGGTGAGCATGGCTCATGCATGTAGCATCTAAAGGGAGAGAGACACCTGGGGACCCGCCAGCCTGCACCCCTGCCACATTCATGATTTACAGGAAACCAGCCTTTCCCTGCTCACACTGTAGTGAGAGAGGATCCCCCACCCCAGTAGTTCCTGTGCCCTACAGGGTGCCTTCACAGCTGTCAGAGCGCAGGAAGCACAGGAAGGGTCACCCCGCTCTCTCTGCAGCAGGTGGGCCAGGCTGGAAAGACCCTGGACATGGAGCCAAGTCATCAGGGTCCACTCACAATTGCGTTGTTGGTAGGCTTTGTGGCTCTGGACAAGTCACCTTTCCTCTCTGAACAGTCCCCTCCCGTCTGTGCAATGAGGGTATTGTAACAGCTGCCTTGCAGGCTGTTGAGTGTAAAGAGGTGTTTTGACTAGGACAGTGCTCTGTGGGTGGCGAGGCACTGGACAGAGGTGAGGGGGCCCTTCTTCCAGGCTGCTTGTCGCTGTCCTCCCCCCCCACCCCCCACCCCCGCCCAGAGTGGCTGTTACCTGTCTCTGTGCACGCACTTTGTCTCTTACCTCTCTGTCATGGCCACCTGCTCCAGCATGGCAGAGCCTGTGTTGGCCTTCCAGTTTCCAGAGATGGAGGTTCTCCTGTGTCAGAACAAACAACACGCTCAGGACATTAGGGACGCCTGTCAACCACTCTGCTTTCCTGTCTCGCTTTGGCCGCAGGAGGCCACTGCACTACAGCAATTGTTAAGTACATGTGCTGTCCTCAGCTTTATGTTCATCTCCGCAGTTCCCTTTACGCTGACTACCTTATTTGCTTGTTGGATCTTAAGCAGCTTTTTTGAAGGCACCTTTGAAATCTAAAAATTAAAAAAAAAAAAAAAAAGCTCACATCATAACATGAAATCCTTCCAAACGTGGCCTCCTGGCTTTGAAAAGGGTAGTGAGAGCAGTAGAGACACTAGTGGTTCTGGGACTTAGGGGGACCAGATGTAGGAAAAACGATCCATGGGCAGAAATGACCGCTTCCAAGATGAAGCGCGGAGGCCTCCTGGTCTCATCTTTCCAGTCTTTTCTGTGCCAGCAACCACGGGCTCCTCTCGGGACCTCCAAAGCCAGTGGCTCTTGGCTGTGTTCAGCCCTCAACGGCCACCCTTCCCCGTGTCCACCATCCTCAAATCTGCCCTTGCCTCCCTAAGTTCTACTCATCCTTTAAGCTTCATCTGAAATGTGACTCCCACAGCCCCTCCCACACAGCCCCTCTCGGCCCTCTGCGCCAATCCTCAGGATGCTCATCTCACTTGCAATGACTTGTCAGCGCCCCGTCTTCCCTGAGGGCAGGGGACATGTTCGACTCATCCCTGTGCCCCGGTGCCCAGCAGTACCTGGCATGGAGTAGGTGCCTCAAACTACCTACTAGTAGGAGACTGTATACTGGGGAGAAAGCCAGACGTACTATCTCCGATGGCTTATCTGGACTCAGCAAAGGCTAAAGGAGTTTAAGCCAAGTGGCAGCAGTAAAATGATTTGTTTTATGGCCAAGGGAAGGATGTGGTTGAGATGAAAGGGTGAGCCAGGGAGAGAATCGCTACAGAAATGTCATCCCAAAGGAAAAAGAAAATGTATCTGAGAACAGCAGCTGCTGAGATGAGCTGGTGGCCAGCAGGAGCAGCCTTATGAGGTACTGGGATGCTGCGTGTCTGTTCTGTTTATTTCAGCTCAGCTCAAGTCAGCTCAATTTGACAAAGATGTTGTCTGTAATAAGACAGCTAGAAAATGCTGGAGCCGAGGCTCACGAGACCATTCTCTGCACTGGATACCGGCTAGCTGGAGTGTGTCGGGACACCCTCCTTTGGCTGCTCACTACGAGCAGGGGTGAGTCTGAAACCACAGTGTTGGCACGGGAGGACCAGCAGTGTCCACGAGCAGGAAGGCTCCAGGGAGCAACGGAGAAAGCAGAGTCGCTTCACGTGACCCAGTCAGTAGCCACAGAGATGAGGCTTAGGGTGGGTTTGGGTTGGGGCTGTATGGTGGTGGCAGAAGACAAGCGCTAACGTGACAGATGCAGGTGTGAGTCTCGGCGCCAGCATTTTCTAGCTGTCTTATTACAGACAACATCTCCGAGTCTTTGTTTTCTCATTGGTAAAATGGGAATCATTCTAGTCCCATCCTTGCAGGGCATCGAGTGGGCTCAAGGCAACATTCCCATGCATCTCTTAGCACCGTGGGTGCTACTAGTGGTTTCCAGTAAACGGAGACAAGAGGAGAAGCATCCCAGTGCCAGCAGCTGCAGGAACACAAGCCAGACCGCGCTCCTTCCAAGAAGATAATGAGAGTGAGGGCTGCTATGTAATGAATGCTTTCGACGTCTGAGACGCACGGGGCTAAGAGTTTTACAGCCACTGGCTTGTTTCATCTGCGCCAAACCCAGTGAGATGGACATCACCTTACTATCGTTTCTGCCAGGGGCAGAAGCCACCAAACCGACCTGGGAAACTCCATGCCCTGGGCCATGGCTCTCCACAGCAGAGTCCATCACGGGCTTGGGGGAAGGGCCAGCTGGTGCAAATGAGGTGAGCTGCTCGTAGGGAGGAGAGAAGGCGGGTGGTGGCGGAAGGACCCAAATGTCTGACATTGACCTGCTTGCTGAAGAGGCTCAAGGTGGATGGAAAGGTGCCAGCATGAAAACTTGGAAATGATGGGGACTGAGGAAGCACAAAAGGGCCGTATGTGGCCCTGGCTGCAGGGGGACAGGTTGTTTTCCTTGGGGTGTGAGTTAAAGATCCGCGACTGCCCTGGGGTTGAGCAAATGAGGGAGGTGGAGGGTGGGAGGCAGCTTGTGCTTGCATGGGAAGGTCCATATAAGCAATCTGGAAGGGCCAAAGTGAGTCACGCGGTGCTGGATGGACGTGTGAGGCAGCGACATGAACTACTTAGCTGCAGACAGGGAGGCTGTGTATGGAGACCATGACAGAGATGTATGCACGCACAGGTTACGACACACACATTTCCTGACTCTGACTGCTGAGGGGACTTAGCACAACGGCACCCCAGTGGGAACACGCACAAAGGCCCAGTGCAGGGTAGCAGGAAGAGGTCCTGGAAGAGGGGTGAATGGTGAGGGCCCGAGAGGTCGGACACAACCCCCTCCCTCGGATGTGGGCCAACCCAGTGTCCGGGAAATGCCATTACTCGTGACAAATGGGAGCTGTCAGGGCAGAAGGGCGAAGCTCAAGGGTGCGGCAGTGAGGTAATCCTCAAGAAGAAAAACTGGGACAAGGTGCTGTCAATGTCAAGTGGAAACTCTAACAATGAGGAGAGGCGGGAAATGGCATCTCGACAGACATGGCGTCGGTCTGGGGTAGGCACCAGCCCGCTGAGATGGAGGTGGGGGCAGGAGGAGGGGACCTTCTCATCCCGAGGATGCTGAGAGCAGTGACCTGGCTCACGGGTGGGAGAGAGGGTGGGCAAGATGGAGCGGAAATATTCCTTGAGATTGGCTGTATCCCTTTCTTGGGAATATTTCCGTGGAGGTCAGCTGCCAGCACCTTTTCCAGTTTCCCAGGCAGCGGCAGAGTGGAGTGGTTGCAATAGAGACTGGGAACGGTAGAGCCTAAAATCAATGGGCTCAGGCCCTTCACAGCGAAGTCTGCTGACCCCTGGTCTAGGCCATGCAGGTAGCACCAAAGCCACCCTATGTACCATCCAAATGGCTGTGCAAAACCCGGCCAATAAAACTTTATTTACAGAAAAAGGTGGCAGTTGGCATTGGCCTGTGGGCTGTGGCTTGCTGACCTTGACCTAGAGCACAAGTCTATCAACCACACAGCAGCCTATGGAGAGACTTTCCAGCTGGCCCAGGGCAGTGGTGGCCACGCTCGAATAGGGAGCCAGGCAGAGTCAGTGCTCCATGAATGCCTGGCAGCCAGACACCGATCACTCTCTGGGGTCTCATTTTTTTTTTTTCAAGTGGAACCAGCAGCCACGTAAGTGAGAGACGGGTCTTGGAGCAGATATGACCTCTAACCAGCAAGCCTGCCCACAGATGACTCCCATTCATCCTTATAACCGCAGCTCAGGTTTGAGTCATCCTTGTCCTCGGGGAGAATGAGCTTTGGATTTTCTGGCATTCACTCCTCTTCCTGTGGCCACAACACCTCCCTGTCCACGGGAGAAAGAGCCTGCCCATCTAGTGTGCCATCTTGGGAGAACTGTACCTACAGGCTGTCTGTCTTTCCCCATGAGCATCTGACCAAAGCTGGCTTGACGATGCTGTTTCCCAGGACTCCTTGAGCCAAGCTCTGAAGTGATGGGGCAGATTCATTTCCCAGTGGGGGAGCCACGAAGACTGTGCATTCCTGGGGCTGCCCAGGTTCTGGGGATTCCCTGGACCCTAATATTTCTGACACTGACAGCTTAGTGTTTTTTTTTTTTTAAAGTTTCTGATCATCTTTGGTTTTCTCATAAATTCCCTTTAAATAGCTTGATCAACTTAGTGTGCTGTGGTTTCTGTTGCTTGAAGTTGGAGGAATCTGAAGTGATCCCCTGATTGGTCTTACTGGTTCCAGAAAACCCCAGAGCCATCTTTTTATAAATGCAGGTCAAAAGGGCACAGAAGGAAATGCAAACCCCTCAGCCGGGCATTCCTTGATCTGTCCCCAGTGTTTCTTCCAGCCTTATCTCCTATGACGTGCATCCTGTATATACTTTAAGTTCCCCCAAACACGCAAGCATCTACAACCTTCATTTGGGTAGACAGCTTTCTGCCCCGGTAAGCTGTGACAACATTGACCCACAGCCCCACAGACTGGAGAAAGACAGTGAAGGAGACAGAAGCGAGGGAGGGCGGTGTGCTGGAGGGGTCCCAGCCTGGGAGGACGCAGAGCTGGACACGCACATCTCATCGCCATCCCTTCCCCGCTCTCCTCCCGGGCCCCTGGTGCCTGCGGGACTCACATGTAAGCCTTGTAGTTGGATCCGATTTTCTGGATGCGGATGTCATACTTGGAGTCGATGAAGGCCTCCGTGGTGGCGTAAGTTTTGGCCATAGCCACCACGCTGGTGATGTCCTGGTAGTCAAGCTGGTTTTCCACTTTGATCTGCGTGAGGGAGACAGGGGGTGAGTGCTACACAGTCAGCCTTCGCCATCACCTACCCAACGCCAGGACCCAGGTCGCCATACAGTGACCTTAAGAAGGGCAGCCGCCCAGCACGGGAGACAGACGTGGGAAAGAGCCCTTGCGCAATCCACCACTTGTAGAGAAAGGGAATGTGCCAGTTGGGGAGCGAAGGGGGGGCTTTACAGGAGGTAAGCTCTGAACAAGGGGGGACGCACCTGTGCAGTTCTCAGCCTGGCATGCTCTGGCGTGGGGCGAGGATGGGAAACGCAGAGGCGGGAGCAGCGACCTGGGAACAGAGCGGCTGGTGGGGCAGGGGAGGGGGCCAGCAAGGAGGCTGGCACAGGCCAGGGAGGGAGAGCTCTAGAGTGTGGGAGGGGGCTTGGGTTTTAGCCTGAAAGTGCTGGGAAGCCATGGGGGTGGCGGGGTTTAAATAAAAAAACCTCATTTGTGTTTTCAAAAAAAGCTCTGGAGTAGTCACAAAAATCAACTCGAAATGGATTAAAGACCTAGACATAAGAATGGAAACCATAAAATACCTAGAAGCAAAGATGGGTCAAACACT